TTCTGAACAAGGGCTCGTTCATAGATGCCCCTAGAAGTGTGGCCGCCCACAAGGCCACGAGGAGCGACGAGAAGCTCTAAGAAGAGGTCAGCCCCAGAGCTCTCCTCGGGAGGCCAATACCCTCTTGAGTTGATGGCAGCTCCCTGGCTGACGGGTGCCGCCACCGAACCCCCACGCACACGCTGGGCAGCTTGGAAATCCTCCTGCTGCTGGTCGAGGTCATTCGAGACCTCCCGGGGCTCAACAATGGCACCCTCCTCTTCCTCTTCTTCCTCCTTCTCCTCCTCTTCATCCGGGGAGCCGAAGAGACTCTGATAGGAGCGTCGAGTCTCCTTCTCCTCGCGGAGTGGAGACTTAGAGGCGGTACGCTTCTTTGAGGGCTTGGCGCCTTCGGCTTTAGAGGCCTTAGCGCGCGCAAGACCCTCGGCAAGCGAGAGACGTTTGCGAGGACTCCCTTCCTCATCGCCACCGGCTTTGGGAGTGCCCTTAGCCTTAACGGCCGGACTCTCAGAGCGCACAGAGGTCCTGGGACTGTGATCACCGTGATCACTAGCGGACGACTGCACGCTGTCTTCTTTGTGCTCACTGGGCACTGGGCTGTGCCCTCCCACAGAGCCCGCAGGAGCATCATGAGTGCTCTCGGACTCGGCATCGTCCTCACTGCCCGAGTTGAACTCACGTTCTACGAACCGAGGGTTCGGACGATTGTCTGAAGACGAGGGCGACGGACTGCGGCGCCTGCTTGCGCGCTTGTCCGCAGCCGCGTCACCCGAGGATCCGATCGCCTCGGAGGCCACCTGAGTAGCCTCCTTAAGTGCAGAGCCTTTGCCGTGAGACTTAGTGCTCTTGGCCTGCGCCTTACCGGCTGCAGCCTTGGAGCGTGTCTTAGCACCGCTCTTAGCAGTGCCTCGAGGCATGTTAACGGTCGAAGTGGAGACCTTGACGAAGAGCGCACAGGTTGCTGCTCGAGGCTCTAACTGTGAAGTGAGCCTCCCGCCGCGCTCGCGCGGCCGAGTCGATGGTTTTCGACTTTGAGAATGAGAGGTTGTCAGGAAAATTGCTTCTTTCTGATTGGACGCAAAACCGAACCTAAGATGGGGAGGATGAAACGAAAACGTACCCATTTGCCGGACCCTGGTTACATGAAGTGTGACATATCACATTTAGGGAGTTTGACATGTCATCCTCCGAGATATTTGGAACAAGACTCAAAGGTCATTCAAGACCAACCATTGCATAAATGACCTTGCATGTCTATAGGGAACTGAAAGTTTGATATAACCTCAAACTTAACCTACCTATAAATATACTCAGTTTACAATCTACCTTATTTAGGTCACTTCGCTCTCTTTAATTAAAGAGGGGACCTGTGAACTGCCGTTCACTGAGAGTTTGAATACTCTCGGAAGATAACTTCCTCTAGCGCAAGGTGCTGTGTGACCCCGTCACAGAGTCCATCTCTTCAAGGTGCTTACTTTTCGGATTCTAGGCGTGTAATCTGCAGTGGATTTGGGCAGGCGTGTAAGTCTGGATCGCTCACGCTGTGTACCTTCCGCCGGACCCGACTGTCCACCAATTTTCTGCTGCTTGAAGGGACGCGGCAGCGACTGCAGGTGTGGTGATTCGCGGATAAACTTCTCTTTCTTCGTAGAGGCTAAAAAAACAAATTAAATATAAATTACCTTCGCTAAATCAACCACAACCGCTTTAAAACAACTTTACCTGCGTATGTCTTCTCGTTTCTCTTCTTATTTGTCTTGGGGAGCGTCTTGCGTTGCACACGAGCTGCAAAACACACCCCAATGCTAATAAAGGTAAATGCCCATCGCAAAAAAAATAACATGACAGCAAACGTGCGTACCAGCGCTCAATGATAGATCACTCTCTGACTCCGAAAAGGAATCTTTCCCTCCTGCGTTGCTATCCTCCTCGCCCGCAGACGCATCCTCGTCTCTGCTATCATCGCTGCTGCTGTCGTTGGCGTCTTCGATGACAATTACCGCATACAGGTCTCGCAGCCTCGTACGTCCTCGCCAGTCTACGGATTCGCACATAAGGTCAAACTAATTTTTGCTGCGTCAGGCGCAAGTACTGCATTACGTACCAGGCTTGACCGCGTCCTGCGCACGACTCATGGGTCTTCAGATGCGTCAGCGTCGGGTGCGGAGTTCGTGTTCCTGGCGCAGCCGCGTGTTCTTCTCGCTCCCACGCAATTTCTGAAATGGGAGGCTCAGAATGATCGTATTTAAAACGAATCGAACTTAAAAAGAACAGATACGTACCTAAGACGGGAAGCGGTTTTTTTCTGGGATTTTTAATTTCGCAGGTAATCTATGAATTTGGGGTAACGCAACCATAAAGTCTTTAAAACGACCATAAATGTCTCAATTTACGGTTGCGGTAATCACTCCGTGCCTGGACACTGTCCGGCGGGCAGCACTATCACGAACGCTTTGGTAGCTTTTAAGTTATTAAACATGTTTTCACAATCGGAGCTATTGTAATGCTTTTGTCCTAGGTTTCATATTTTTTAAGCATTTCACCGTTTCGACCAAGCTAAATTTGATCAGGCATTATTAAGTTGTGCGGGAGAGTGCAGAAAACCTCCTGTTGTGGATGTATTTCGGGCTTTACACCAACTATGGCGCTCACTATTTCTACAGTAGCTGGTGTATCCACTAAACAGCTCATTTGATTTTTGTAGACCATTTGTTTTTATCGAGGTTTGCAAAAACTTTATAGCACTACGCATCCATTTGACTTTGTTTTAGTTGGAACCGGTGGGAATGATCTTAGGTAATATGAGACTGCGTCAAACAAAATGTTACTTATGAACCTAAGTACGAATCGCGATTTAAGCACTCTAAACGAAAGCGGGGCGTCTCCTCTATCTTTTGAGCTGCACAATGCTTAAAACTGAAGAAGTTGTGGTCGCTCAAAAAAATTATCTTCATATATGGGCCCTCGAAATGACGATACATTTAGGAGTGTTGTGAGCTCAATATTTTTTCAATTTTAGAGATTTAAGTGTTATTTAAAAGCTCTTGTTAAAAGCAATTGAATAAGGGTAGTTTTACTGTTTTTTCGATGGAAGTTTACAATAAATGTCACTGTTTCGGTTAAGTGCGAAAATCAATTGGCCACTTTAAGCATGATTATCTCGATAACTCTCAAAGGTTCGTAAGTAACATTTTGTTTGACGCAGTCTCATATATAATAATAGATTTCGTTTGATTAAAGTCAAGGAAATTTGACAAGAGTAGAATGGATTCAATATTAATTGACAACACTAGTAATATGTCCGACAGTACCAGTAAGATAACCCGTAATATCGACCAGTAATTTTACCCGCCAAGAGCAGTATTTAGAAACCGCAAGTCGTGACAGAAACAGTATACTATTAGCAACGCTGCTATAAATTTGACTCGTAGAGCAAAGACGCCACTAGCCGCCGAAAAACCGTCCGTCGTTTTCGTAGCGCCAGTTGCGCGAGTGTTTGCAGCTCCTTCCACGCCGGACGATCCGCCGACACCAACTCTGGCAACAGCATTGCTGCCCTAGCAGCTCCGGAGGCTCCACCCCCAACATCAGCGATATCATCATTCAAAATGCCAATACTACGGCGGATTGCAGATGCACATCGTAGGTCGGGATGCTTTAATAACATGCAGAACGTAGCTTTCGCTTATGTGTTGGTACCAGCTAAAGACAGCGATAATTACGAATGGCTTTTGATATTTTGGAGAAAAAGGGAGTTGGCATTCTTCTTTGCGACAGAAGTTAAGCAATGCTATCTGTCTCGGTTTCACGCGAATTTGACGTCAAACACTGCACGGATCATATCGCACGCAGCTTTGTGCACAATAATTCCAACGTAAAGCAAAGTGCAAGTTTGGTAGCTGCAAGCGCATACCAGGCGACCGCACACGATTAGCGCTGACCCAATTTGAAGGATCGTAAGTTACATTCGAGATGCAAGAACGACCAATGTTTTGTAACGGACCGTGCCGTGGTGTAGACCACAGCACAGCGGGTCCAGATGATGATGATGGAGCGCGACAGAAGTGGCACGTGGCGTGCCAGAAGATCACCGCGTACGGAGACGTCGGGCTCTGTGAGGCAGCGCATGGCGCTGGAGGATGTCCAAATGAAGACCGTGGCATTGAAGTGCAGTGCGGGCTTGCGCATCACGGGGGATCCAGTGCGCCAGGTGCTGAGAGGTGGTCTTGGCCGCCCACAAAGGAATCTGCGCAAAGGAGAGCAAGTGGCTCTACTCAGTGGAGAACAAAAGAATCAGCTCATTAGAGAGCAAGTAAATCTGCACAGAGGAGAGCAGGTGGCTCTACTCGGTGGGGAGTAAACGAATCTGCTCGGTACGGAGCACGTGTGTGTGTGGCCTACGGAAGCGGGCAGTGTGCGATCGAGAGGTCGCCAGAGTTGAGGCGAGGCGGCGTGTGCTGACGGGGAATCCAGCCCGTCGTTGAGCTTGGTGGTGGTGTGCATTGACGGGAAATCCAGTGTGCACTGCTTGAGTGCTGGGGCGGGTACAAGGGCGGCGTGTGCACTGACGGGGAATCGAGCGTGCGCGTTGTCCAAGGATGAGCCTTGGTTGAGTGTGTAGGCTGCGTTAGCAAGTGACTAAAGCAGCTTATTGCTGATTAATAAAGTAGGAACAAGCCCAGGTGGTGAACGTTCCGGTGCAGGGTCAAGTGGATCCTGTCGGCCAGTGGTGTCTATTATAAAGTAAAGTTACGAAGTCTAAGTAAAAGCGGACGCCGTAGCGCAGCACAGTGGAGCAACGACCCGCCCCACGGCCGGACGAGATAATCGGCCCGTTACAATTTCATGAATGGTTTAGCGTATACTATAAAATTTGCTCGCCATTACGATCAATACTGAATACTGCTGATTTATTTTCGCATTCTGTAAAACTCAGTCACCATCCGCTTTTATTGTGGGTTATTTCACCGAGCCTGCTAAATAGATTATTTTTTTGCGATATGATGGTTTTTCCCGGCAAATGGGTACGTTTTCTTTTTTTACCAATGATCAGCGCTTGTTGATTGAGTTGGAGACTAAATGAACAAATATCCAGAGTCCATCCGGCGATGTGATAATCCTGTATTGTAACTTGCCAGAAACTATTCTGCAGCCCAATCTTGTTTTTACAGTGCAGCGTCACGCCTACGTGGACTCGTACGTGCTACCCAGTCCGACCTTCGCACTGCATACCAAGGACGCTGATGCTCTCAATAAACCGCTCTCAAGAGCTATGAGCAGAGGGTAATCGTATTTCGTATTTTAGTAAGGAGCTCTCAAATTACTACAATATTACTTCTAATATTAAATATAAGAAATTTTCTTTGATTGATTTCATACTGGAAAGTAGTACTCTTTTGCTACCAGATGTTTTCTCATGCGCTTGAACGAAGGTCGAATGAGACCAGGCAAGCACTGTATCGTGCAGGAGAAACACAGTGTGCGACGGGCTTAGAGGCTGGATGCATACCCCCAATTGAAAAGTTGGATCAAGTTTTGTCCTATTGAGAAGCAGTGCTGTGTCACAACATAAGTTACTCGTCATTGACGAACGATATTGGCAGCCAACTCCTTACGGAGTTCTCTCTGCATTAAACGACTATCATATAAGTGTGTGAAGTTGTCGTTAATGTGAAATACACTAATTGTAAAATGATGGGGCACTTCCCAAAAAGCTCCGGACCCCACAGGTAGCCAAGACCGCGCGCAGAGCCAGTCCACCCTCGAACGGGAAGCCCCGCCGCCTGGCGGCCCGTAGGGGCACGCGCGGTGGGCACGCGACGACGACCGACAGCTCGCGCGTGACGCATGCATACCAAGCTTCAGTCCGTTCCTGCGCGGCACGAGGCGGCACCTGCCGCCAACGTTCTGGGGGCACACCTATCCCCGCCAATAGACGTCTGAACGACGTCATTTTGCACGCGGGGTCTGACACCCCCGAGAACGTGCTCTGTGGTCACGTGGACTGCGCTACGGACAAGTCGCCAACGTCGTGGAAGGTGACATCGCGCTTTCGTGGAAGTGACGGCTGACAACTACACAGTGGAGGGGTCTGTAGACTCCAAGGGATGGAAGCGCTGCTAGAGCGCTGGGACTACAGGGTGGGCTGGATTGAGACGGACACCGACAAAGGTCACAGGATGTCGTTAGGGTAGCTAAGTGACAGCCGTGTTCCTCTAAAATAATAAAAAAATGAGAGGGCAACAAGATGCCTGAAATGTGCAGTCTCCGTTGCTAATGCGACATAGTATCTACTACGAGCTATCGTCTGCTACGGGCGCATGTAGATTAATCTGAGGCTGAGGACAAACCTTGAAGAGGCTGGTAAGGCCTGTGGTGGATACAAAGAGACTTTTAATAATAATTAGATATGATCACGACGCCATGATGTACACCGGTGAAGAACATAATGACACTTTTTTTTTACATGTAAAATTGAATACTGTGCCCTAGATGCTCTGGTAGCTCTTATCTTACTATACCACTTCGATTTTTATGGCTCCACCCACGCTGTGGGATGTACCGTAAACCACGGCCTCCGTGCGACGCACGGTCAGCGTAAAAACATAAATTGTGAAAAGGAAAAGTGCGGTTCTAAAAAGATAGAGACGACATCCCACCTTAGTACTAACGCTTGTAGAAAAAAACATCACATTTTTCAAATCGTCGCATAATATTTTTTTTTACCACGTAAAAAGGGCAAAGTTTGCCAACATTTTGTATAGCAATGGAGCTTTTTACAGTTGTTGCACTGAGGCCGTGGTTTACGGCATAAAACCCAAAGTAGTACCTCGAAGTATGTAGCTAAGGTGATATGAGGGGCACAAGTATACAATCGCGACTTTTTTTAATATCGAGAAACCATTTTTGAAAATATTAGGATGTGAACAGTATTACCCGATAGCTACTATAATAACCTTCACGTTACTATCACCCTCTGCTGTGAGGCCTTGTAATTAAGTGACCGATGAAGGGTCGTCCCGTCTGGAAGTACGCACTCTCTCAGTTGGCAACCAGCACTTGAAGACCTTGGGTGGCACCACCATCTCCGCCATGGACACCAAATAATTTTTCCTGCTGTCGAATCGGAGACTTTCTAGCAGCTGGAAAAGAGTTGCACGCTTTGCGTCGATAAGATTAAATAACCACCCTTGCGCAAACTTTCGAGTGGTATACAGCCTGTATATCACAGGACCATCGACACATCCACCCATGTGGTTGGACGATCGACGGATAGAGCTTTGATTTTTCAAAAGCTGTAAAAAACATAATACGCACCTCTTTTGATGTTACATGTACATTACCGGCCATTTGCAACCGGGGTTGTATTTCTCCGAAATCCAGATTGTTGATTGGCTGGAGGTACGATACCGGCAACGATTTGTGTCGGTACCATGTTAATAGATGCAGTGTCGTTTTCAACCCGAGTGGCACACGTGGATGCAGCCAGTGACGACTTTTGCAAACGGGTTCATTACAAAATAAAAACAGTTAAGGTTGCAAACAGAGTCAGTATCAAGTCTCCATACATACTACGTGTATAGGTCATTTTAACTACGGCAAAGACCGCGTGCTCACAACGGATGAGCTTCTTCAGATCACCCCTGATCACTAATGCCGCTGGATGAGCCAGCAGGCCTACGGTGACGGAGAGCCCAGCGATGAAATGAGACCTGTGTATCGTCGTTTGAGTACTCTCGAGTCTTCTAAGAAAGCAATTTCATCGCTCATGCCGTGAATGAACGCAACTTGGGACCCAGTGACAGAGCGCGGTTGATAGAGATTATGGGGGATTGGGGACCTCCGAGAGCTATATTTGTTCACGATTATGGGTCAAATGTAGTGGCCTCAGGGGGTGACTTGGGTGTACCGCACTCTCCGTGCCTTGTCCACGAACCCTATCTAGTGCTGTCCGGCACCCTGTCTAAGACAAAAAACGTCACAAAACACTAGTCCGCTGTGGGAGTCCGCTGTAGCTGAAGAGGCTGGTAGCTATTTTAGCGAGCACGAAGAGGATGATAGCTTAAACGACGATGAGCGATTGGAGATGAATAAACTTCGTGATCGTGCAATTGACGAAATTTCAACTTACTTGGATGAATACTTCAGAGTCTTGCACAAAGTGATATGGAATCGATGCGGAAAATGGTTCAAACATTATGAAGCTAGCTTATTACTTAAGGGAGTCGCCAAAAGCACATAATCGACTGGCTGACATTCAAAAGACAAAGCTCCGTGCTGCTGCAAATGATGTGGTAAATATGATTGCGGACGGTCCAGCACGCTGGAATAACTGCTGGAAGATGCGGGAGCGTTGTATTCATCTTCAACCAGCGTTGGATCGTTCTTTGAGCACTTTTTTCTCCTCCGAGGACGTGCCGAATTCAAATACGTGCAGAACAAATTAACTGAGCCAGCTCACAGGGAATAATGGTTAGCGATCAAATGTCAGTGGGTTATATTGGATCCGTTTAAATCGGTTTCAAGAGACCTATACGGACAAACGTATCCGCTGGTCATACCTGCAGTTGACGCACTGGATAAAAATCCTCCTGAACCAAAACCTATTCGAGGATTTTATAAACCCTGCCGGAAATGAAGAATGTGTGGATGAAATTCGTGTGCCAATGACTGCTGCAATCCGAGATTTGTTCATGGATCGCTATGGATGAATATCATCACTTATCCGACCTTACTTAAGTTTTGTATGCTCCTGAACAACCTATTACAGAATTTAAATTTATTTTTGCCAATGGAAATACAGAATAACGTGTATTTCCACCTCTAGAATTGCGTAGGGGTAGGGGGTCATCTTAACCAGTCAATCCGACGTATCGGGTCGGAAGGATACGAGAAATATGTGTATGCCTATTCTAAAACTAAGTGACGGACGTATCACTTGCATATTTGCAATACATCCGACAGGATGGGACTGGACGAGCTTAAGCCTGGAAACACAAAACGAGCTAAGGCAACCGCCATCGCAGCGTTCAAGGCTTTTGTAAAGAGTGAGTCTGTAGACTTTGAGTATGTCAGGAGTTGCATTGCGAAAGATGATAGTGGAAAGTCATTTGTGTCTATATTGGATATGTTTGGCATGTATCTTGCCTTTAAGGAAGGCAAGAAGGGTAAACAGCTTGCCCGCAACACTGCCATGCAGTATTATAGACAGACTAAGATGTGGCTTTTCGAGCTCTTCCCCACGCAGCGGCACATTGTCGAGGCAAAGTTGCTAAGTATGGGGAAGACGCTGGAGAACTTTTGTACGAAAAGAGACGGCAAGGTAGTGAGCAAGGCGCCACCATGCACGAAGGCAGATTTGCGTAAAATGATGCTATACTTGTATCAGAATGCGACTACCTCAAGCGATTATCAAGATGCAGCGCTACCATGTATGCTGTGGTATCTGTTTGGACGCGCTTCCGATTTCTCTCTCGTCCAGAAGCAGAATCTCACCATTGACGCTGCAGACATCCTGTTCGTGCGCTTCATTCGGCTCAAGACTTCTGAGGAGCAAGGCTTGTCGCTGTTTCCCGACGAAGACTTCATCACGTGCCCAGTGTACGCTATGGCTCTGGCACTCATGGTGCAATACGCTCCGTGCGTCGACTTGCTCGATAATCTGCCGCCGCTTCCTGTTGAAGCCTCTGTCTCCTTGTCCCCCGCGACGCCGCTCCTGGAGGTACTCGACCATCCTGATGACTACGCTGCACTTGGTGCTGTGGCTGCTGCAGCGGACGGAGTAGTCGTGACTGGAAAAACGCCAGCCATTTACCCCCACGTTAACAGAGTTCTTGACCGAGTCGCTGTCGCCGCTGGTATCGAGGTCGCCCTCTCTTCTCATTCCTTTCGCCGAGGCGGAGCGCAGCACGTCAACGGTTGTGACGGCCTCACGCATCGCTGGATTTTTGACCGTGGTGCCTGGAACATGAGTACAACAAACAAGGGGTTTAACTACATCTTCAACACAAGCCGCGAAGATCACAAGGTTAGCAAGGCTCTCAGCGGATACAGCACAGAAGCGAAGGTACCTTTGAAGGACTTGAAGCCCTTTGATGCACACACACAGGAAAAATCGCAGCTGTCCAGCAGTATCTCTTCGCGACGTGCCTGAGGCTAGAACGAGTCCAATACAACGTGAGTCACCGTGTTCTGGACGCTCTAACAGCTTACCTGTTGCTGCACTATCCCCGGCTAAAGAAACTTCATCCTGATGGACCAGCTGTAAAACGCATCGAAGAGTGCGTGGTTTTGGCAGGGTCATCACGCGCAGACTTGTTGGTTTGGGCGTCCGGCCTGGCTGCTCAGAATATTCCTACGGAGACACGTCTGCCAGAAGACAAGGAAGAAATATATCCCACATCGAACCGGCAACCAAGGCAAGAATGTGATATCATTGAGCACCAACGCCGTGTCATTGACCAGTTAGTTCTACTTGTTAAGAGGCAGGATGAACGCATGGATCTTCTAGAAGCGAAGGTAGGAGGTGCTGTGCAGCAACATACAAGCAGCAAACGTCAACATGATCCTGAACCCGACCCAGTCAAGCCAACCAAGCGTCGACGGACTTCTGTGACCTACCTGCACGCGACATGGTACGCTTGGTACGCTCAGGAACCCCGTTTTTTTGCCGCTGCAAACAAACAACAACGATCAAGCGCGGTGCAGCTCGTCGGATACCTGAAATTGTTTCTTGGGGACGGCTTCTCCCTCAATCCAAGCGCATGCGACTATCGTGAGCAAGTTTTGGCGAGAGGGAAGCAGGCTGAGACAGCGGTAGTTACCTTCCTTCGTGAGCGCAATATCATGTCACGTGGGTCCACTGCTGTTCGAAAGCCCCTTCATGGCCTACACGCTGCTGGAGAACTAAACGACATGATCACACGCTACCATCGTCTGGTTAATGCTGGTGCTGTTCAAGATCCTGATAGACAGGACCCCCTTCAACCTGTAGCGGCAACATCGTGAGACACAAGCATTAGTTACCGTTACAATATCGGGAATTTCGTACACGTTCTTACTGCGAAAATGCGCACCCTGTTTCAGCACCACAACCACCATGATAAACCCGCAGTGGCCGTACTGGTATGCTAGCCCAATGGTGTCGTGTAACCCGTACACGTGTCGTGTAACCCGTACAACCCATACAAAGGGTGTCGTGTAACCCGTACAACCCACACCAATGGTGTCCTTAGCCTGGGTACACGCCACGTAACTCTCACAGGGTGTCGTGTAACCCGTACACGTGTCGTGTAACCCGTACAACCCACACCAATGGTGTCCTTAACCTGGGTACACGCCACGTAACTCTCACGCGGTGTCGTGTAACCCGTACAACCCATACAAAGGGTGTCGTGTAACCCGTACACGTGTCGTGTAACCCGTACACGTGTCGTGTAATCCGTACAACCCATACAAAGGGTGTCGTGTAACCCGTACACGTGTCGTGTAGCCCGTACAACCCACACTAATGGTGTCCTTAACCTGGGTACACGCCACGTAACTCTCACGCGGTGTCGTGTAACCCGTACAACCTATACAAAGGGTGTCGTGTAACCCGTACACGTGTCGTGTAACCCGTACAACCCATACAAAGGGTGTCGTGTAACCCGTACACGTGTCGTGTAGCCCATTCAAGTTGCCTTTACACAATTCAAAACGGGAAGATGAACTATGCACGTCCGTTTTCCGACTTGCAGAAAGTGGAGGCCCTAAAATCATGGAGGTACAAGGCTGGAGTACTTCGGAAGCGTCGCGCCATCTGAATATAACCCGAACAACCTTGCTCGGGTGGCTCGCAAAACAAGACCAGCTTCACGTTCGAATTGACAACGGCATTGCGGTCAATCCCGGCCCCACATCCAAGACTTGTAAATTTGAAGAGGAAATTGTTAACATGATCAAGTTGTTCAGTGATTGTGACTCTAAATTGACTCGTAGTGCTATTCTTAAAGACTGTGACCAAAGAATTCCTGAGTTCAAGAGATTGTCGTATGGGGCTCAACGACAGTGGCTGTCTCGGTTTTTGAGGCGCCATAACCTTGTGGGTCACGTTGCTCCTCATAATTTTCGGCAGACACCACCTGAGACGAAGAACAGTGAATTCCAAAAAGTGGAGAAAATTGTGGACGAACCAGCATTTCCTGGTGTGATTAATGGTGATTTGCCAATCGTGGATTTTGGTGGGAACATTTCCGAGTCACCGCTTGAAATGCCAGCAGAACTGTTGGAAAATCCCGTTGCGCAGTCTGCCCCGGCGACTGCTCCATCTGACATTGTTTCACTACTTAATAATGATGACGAGGTGGATGATAGCGCAGAATTTGTTGTGGCGTCTCAAGTTGTGTGCGAGACACAGACTACATCCTTTGCACCAGGCAGAAAGCAAATGCGCCTCGTCGTTCAGGAAAAGGATATTGAGACGTTGGACAGGGACATGTGACTTAATGACGTGGTTATTACGTACTACATTAGGGAGCACATTCCTGCGTACGGAAGAATTTATGTTTTGGACGCAAATGTATTTGGAAATATATTTTCTGCGTTTAAGAAGATGGGTCGGAATATGTCGGAGGCTCACCCAACCGTTTGTGGGATCACAGCTTCGTTTCCTTACGAGGAATATGACCAAATCATCATCCCAATTTGTATGGGCTCACACTGGACGTTTGCAGTCGTTCAAAATCCAGTTCTCGCTGTCGAACATCTAAAGCGTTGCATGGTTCACGTTGACTCTTACGGTATTACAAAGGTTGAAACTGTACAAAAGGTTTTGTGCGGCTACTTTGATGAAGAAATAAAGCTAAAATATCCTGAGAAGAAGCCGGCTGAATTTAGCGTCCGTGGTGTTAATACAACTCCGATGCAAAAACACTCCGACGACTGTGGTGTCTTCGCAATATACTTCATGAAACGAGTAGCAGATGAGTTTATGAAAGGGAATAAGCTTCGACTATGCAATGTAGAGAAGATCTGCACGATTCCAAGATCGGCTCGCTTCAGCGCATCGTCGTTTAGGAAAGAGATCAAAATGTTGCTGACTGAAGGTAACAAGGCAATATGCACTGCAAACGTTTAAGTCTAAATAAATTCAGTTCAAAAGTGAGTGAGTTAAACTTATGGATCAGTTCGATGAAAGTGTCAACCAGCCAGTTCTCGCACTCGAGGGATCAGCAGAGGCCTGACACCGGCGCTTCGCACTGGCGAAGCCTAAAAGAGCGACACCCAAACCGGCAGCCTGCCGGCCGCCCTGCCGGGCAAGCCTCAAGCTGATCCGCGCCGCTAACCGCATGCTGCCGCTCCTCTTCACCCGACTGCTGCCGCTCCTCACCTCCTGTCGCGTCCAGCCGCTCTCCACCTTCCCCACGCACGCCGCCACGCCGCCACGCCGATGCCGGCGCCTCTGCTCGCTTGTGTGAAAATAAAGTGTGTGACCGAGTGTGGTCCAAAGCACCTAATGTGTGGTCCACAACATAAGGTATAAATACATATATTTGTTTTAACTTTTCAATTGATATGATGTTCCCTAGTTTTGGTACAGGTCGGAGCCAGTCGGAGGTCGGAGATTTTATGGTATGGAAGCTTAAAAGTAATCAACTTGGCGGATCGCATACTTGGGCCCCAGAATGGCGAAGCACATGACTCACTTGACATCTACTAATGAGCAGAAAGCCGCGATGGCTGTCAAAACGCTGTTATCAATCTGACTGAGTCACGAATGCCGACACCGCTGGCTCAACCCGTAGCTGCGCCGACCAATAAACTTTAAAGAGACTTCTTCACAAATGCCGTTCTGAAAGCCAATGAGGACATAAAGGAGACAACGTCGCTAGAAGCGGCACGTGAAAAGGCGATAAAAGCGTACCTGGCTGCTGCTACATCTTTGCAGGGCTTGGATGAAGTGAAACTGCTCAAGTGGTGGTCTGGAAATAGGGCCTCCTATCCTCATCTCAGTTTGCTAACAAGGAAATGGCTAGACGCAGTCGCAACCTGTGTACCATCTGAGAGAGCTTTCTTTACCTGCGGCAACATTGTCATGCCAAGCGCAGAGCGCTGACTCTTAAACTAGTTCGAGATCCCGTGTTTGTTGCTGATAACATCCGACAAAAAACAAACCTAATGAGAAGAGGGCAACAACTAACCTCCTGAATTAGATATGGCAATATATGTAGCTTGTATGCACATGTGTATTTTCAGTACTAGCAGTAGCATAAATTGTTTGATGGACGTGGTCTTAATCGACAAGGAATGGCAAACCGAGTCGAAATCGGCATGTCCAGTTTCTGGCCTCTGTCACATTTCGCCGCTGAAACACGTTAATACCACGATTCGAGATAAAATGAGCAATGCCAGACATAGTACAGCTACTATGACAATTCCGCTTCATCGCCTCGTTTGTTCGTGGCCACTGCGTCTGGCCGAGGGTCACTGTTTTGGCGTACATGTACGTGTATTTGAGCGTTTCCAGGAAATCCACGAGGCTATCGTGCTTGTACGGAAAAGTCTCTACCAAGCAGCACGCCTCGTACGACTCAAGCGGCTGCTCCTAGCACATGTTACCGCTAGATGCGGTGCCATCGCGGTCGTCCCTGAAGCCGTTCATGCGACCCAAGTTAACGCATATTCCCGAGCCACGCGAAGCTGGGCTCACCGCTCCACCCAGGCCTCTCAGCAATAGTTGGTAACGTGGTTCACCAATTCATGACCCTTCTGGGGAATCTCATGGGAAATTGCTCGAATCTTTGAGCTGGAATGAATACTGTAGTAGTATAATCCAATCAGTAGACGATAAAGAATTTTTCAGCCATTTTATGCCACTTGCTGACGTATTTTGTTGCGGCTGCGCCAACTCAAACTAGAGGAGTTTTTTTTTCTTACACGCTGACCAGTTGATGAGTTACATATGTCAATGCAAACATCCATACTAACATTTAGACGAGTGCGCTCTTCACAACCTCGACAGCGAATAGTAGCCGGACGGTAGACTCATCGCCACTGGTACTGCCTACCGAGTCCAGAGCTGGAGCTTGAGCACCGCCGCTAGTCACCCGTTTCTTTCGAGGCGGCGTCACCAGCAAGTCTTCCTTGCGTATGATTTTGCTGCTGGCGTCAATTGTCTTTCGAGAGCTCTTCTTGCTCACTGGTGACGGTGGCAGTGCCAAGATTTGCTGCCTCGCATCTTCTCGCACCCTCAACCAGTTAGCGAGTCAAGCTCGCTGCGCACTATGCCTCCATTGCAGTATTTACTGAGCCTTGCCTGCATGTTAGGCAGCGAGAGCGGGAAAATCCCGCATGTTCAAAACCCACTGATTATGGTTATTGTGGTAAGCTCGACTAGCGATAGCCACCGCCTTTTTTTTCGAGATCTTGAGACCCGGTGACGACATGATCACGCGCCTCAGCATCTTGCGGATCTCAGCCTTAAAACCCTTGAGCACAGTAACACTCAGTGGTTGTATTAGGTGTGTTGCGCTCGGGGGTAGAAAAACTAAAATGATCCCGAGCTCTTTTGCTTTAAGAATCCCACTTGAACCCATGTGCGACGAACAGCCATCGCACACTAGAACGATTGGGCGAGAAATGTCACTGCCGATCACATCAGCGAAATGACCGATCCATCTTTCAAAAATACAACCATTAAGAAAGCTTGGACGCTGGATGGATTCCAGAATTTGAGATTTGTCAGCCGTCCAGTGCGGTACGCCGAACACTTTTGTTTGGCAAAATGAAGAGCGGTGCCGCGGCACGACCATCGGCACTAATAGAAGCAACAACCGACAGGTGAAATGCTGTCTCAGTAGCCGTCGTCCACACTTTCGCTGACCCGCGTACTGCTAGCACAGCTTCCGACTGATACCTACTGATGAAGCTGTTCTCATTCATATCCCAGACACGAATACTGTCTAGGTTGTGCTCGATGGCCAGCTTCATCAGTGTGTTGAGCATTTCAGGTACAGCCACCGAATCAACGTCATTACGAGCTCGCGAAAGCGACTCTGAGGCACGCACAGATAGCTCCGGGTGACGCCCAAAAAAAGATTGTACCAGCCTGATGTTAAGTCCTTAACAGAGCGTAAATTGCCCTGGATCTTGTGGTGGATCTCGTTGGCGGCTTCGATTACCTTTCATGGATTCACTGGGACAAGCCGGCGCTGCATTGCTGCAATCCAAGTGACGATGTCGTTTTCACATTCAGGGTGCAGCATTGAACAGGTCCAGGACGCCTGCGACCTTCTTTGCACCCTTCCTTGCGTGCACGGACTTTTCGTTTAAGCGTTGATAGCGATACGGATGACGACGCAGCTACAACAATCAGAGTTTCACCGTTGAGAGCGCGTTGAATTGCTTCCTCTAGATGAGCCACCGTGACGACGCCTATCTGATTCATGATGTCCACACTACCACGTGTCGTCATCAGCTTACCCTCGAGAGGCTTTAGGCTCGACTCGATAACACCACGGAGAGCAGTCCGTGAGCCAGAAACCGAACTGATGCCACCGAAGCCCTATATCGACGCACCAGCAGGACTGATCAAAGAATAATCGAGTTTTAAAGTAGCATGGTGAAGGAAGTGAGCCCCCAGCAGCCTTTTCCCGAATTCCGCCCAGCCTTAACGAAAATCTGGAATGACATAAGCACTCGTTTTTGTCTCATCACAGCCTTGTACGAGCAGCATGGTGTCAAAAACCACCCCGGACCCAATCATGGCAGCCTCCAGGAAACAACACGGCTTGGACGGGGTCGCGGGCTCGAGTATGTCTGCGGTCGACACAAAGCCACCGTTTTTCAGTGCCGCGTTCATGCAGCAGCACTGAAGCACCATTCACTCGTTAGCACCAACAGGGTAGCGCCCCTCCAAAAATAGACAAAGGTGGGACTGACGAGAAAATGCTCTATGTATATAGTCTATCGACGAGGTTAATGTGCAGGTATGTGGTACAAAAGCGATGAGAATGCCGCTAGGGCCCGCATTGGATTAGACGCGGTGTGGTCACTTCCTCCTAGGAAAAATGGTGAGCCTAGAAGATGTGTGGAAGGGCGGGCTCCAACAAACTTGGCATATACCTATTTGTACCAAAATAGATAGTATTTGGCATTTTAAAGAAATAGGATTTGGCATTGATTTGGCATCATACAACTATACGATAAGAGGATAATGTCTGTGCTAGTTAGTGTGTTGAACGCCCGACTTGCCATCTGAGGAGACATTGATGCTGTTGAGAAGATCGAATTGCTTCGCGTGCAACACTCCTTCAAGGGAAAAGTTTATAAGTCTGCTTTTCGACGGTGGCTTCTCCCATTTTAAAATCGAGAAATCACTTTCTACGGTCGATGTACCAGGAAACGTTGTGGCCAATCCACCTGCAAACCTTTTAGCGTTGCGAATTTCCCGTCGACATAATTCCAGGCGTCTTCAAAGGTGCATACTTTCTCGTGAAATGCAGCTTCATTGTCAATACTTCGGCGGAACTGTTCATATCTGCGGTACTGGTCGCATAAGGCTAAATGCTCTTGCTCAATGGCAACCATTTCTTCGTCTGTCCAGTGCGATCGCGATGTTTTTTTAAAGCGGATAAATCCCGGCCTTTTAACTTTACAAAATGTCGAGGAAGAGCTGGTGGAAGCTTTCCTTCTACAGGTTCATTTTTCTCGTTGCGTTCAGGCTCGATTAAATTAACTCGTTCAACCAAAGTTGCAATTACACGCGCGAAATCCGAAGCTAATAGAGTTGCAGCATCCGTTCCAATAGTATCCAGGACTTAAATTGCGATAATACCGTTGTCTTGAGGAAGATCCAATATTTTTGCTTAATCTGTCCCACAATCTTGTCCACAATGTCACGGTCGATACAAACGACTATCGGTGCTTGGTTTTCATTTACAAAAGAGCGAATACTGGAACGACAAAACTGGACTTCGTCGAAGTAAACTTTATGAGCATCGGTAGAAAGCTGCTGATAGTGCTCTTATCTACTTAAATGCTGACCGGTGAGGTGTGACCGGTATTGTTCTGGTCGAAATGGAAGCTTAAAGTACTTCGTGCTTGCAGCTTGTTTACGTTTCGAGCCAACTTTCTCCTCACGTCCAAACGAAATACAAAACCGGCAAGCGACAGCAGGAACATCCCCACTTTGAGGATTGCGTTCAGAAATCTTCAGGCCAAACTCTAATAAGTGGCGGTCTTGAAACGGTGTGGAACGTGATAGCTTGGAGCTTGATCCACTTTGTTGAATCGCGGTATATGGCGTGGAGACACTTGTCCCCGCTTTTTTCCTGCCCATGAGACAAGCTCGAGGCACTGCAACCTCTTGCCACGACTTCTATATTTAAAGTGAAGCGCAATAAAGGCGAATGGGCGGAAGAAGGAGTTTCAGATCCCCTTACCGAGGCCATCTTTTTGGAATTTTTGAAGTATTGGATTTGGCGCGAGTGCCAAAACTACCCGCAAATGCCAAATTTAGAGATGACTTTTGATAGGGAGTCAGTTATAATAAGATAGTACCGGTAAAAGCTTCGGAATTAAGAGGTTGGTTAAGCTTACTACGACATCTCTACTGTTGAAATATCCCACAAGAAAAGGTGAGGCCGAGGATGGGTTTTATAGACAAGTGAAGTGGAGCCTAGATAGGTCTATATTTTTCTGAGCGGCGATGAGCTGCTTGCCATCCTTAAAAAAATGTCTGCAAAAACTATGTGAAAACCTGTATAGAAAATAGATGGAGCCGGACGCGACAACAGTGGCGGTGCGCGTGGCGGACGCGGCAAGCTAACGGATCTTTGAGCCACCGGTGCAGTTGAAATGACAAATACCGGGCTAGAACAAATGGTTCGTGTGGAAACATGGTCCGCGCTGCACAACTAGCCTTCGCTACTTTAAACCAACCCCTTGAACCCGAGAGCCTGGACCTTACAAGATAAGGCCAGTTTCTTAACGTGGATCATACAAGTTAAGAAATATTACATTTGGTTTTTGTATAGGTCGTGACAAACTCCAACTCAAATAGGGGTAGGTGACGATTCCATGCTTTCCCGACAGATACTACACACCAACATAGAAGATACAGATAGAAAGTGCGTGCAGATCAAACCAGCAAATTAAATATGATTGTTTATAGGTGGACGTCTCCCACCGCACAAATTTGCGGCTCACTTCTGGATTTCCCCTCTCGAGCGAAGAACCCCACATCCCCAAAATGGCATTTCGGGCGCGATGGCGTGAAATGAAAAAGGATGGCTGGACCTCAAAGAAACCATCAGGCCTTTCGGTCGACTTTATCTACCTAAAGCCTGGAAAGACGATCAAGGATGTTGAAGGAGAGGACGTGTTTATTGGCGAGGAGGCCCTGATGAAGTACCTGGACAAGATCGACCAAAGTTGCTCTATATATGTTGTTGGATGTCTTTGATCTGTACTGACTGTGCTAATTGAGCAGCGGCTCTTCGGGCAGAGAAGCAGGCAAGACGTGATGGATCTGCGAATGCTGGACGTCGAAGAGAGCCATCCAAAGCACTCTATATTTTTTTAGCGAACACAAAAAATAGGATGTGAAGCGCCACAGACGCAGAAAGGGTCACCAAAAGAAAGAGCAGTACACCACACCAAAAATAAGTGTCGTTTCGCAAAAATCTTTTCTCTCCACGAATAGATATCGCTAGCCACTACTATTAAAATAGTTAAGAGCTTAGCTTCCCGGCATCTAAGAAATTTAAAAATTAACAGCATTGTGAATGGAGCATCGATACAATGGAAAATGATCACGGTGGCCGTACAGGACGTCTTCCGTGGCATGAAGTGTGGAAATCTGGTGATCCTGTCCTTTTTGATGACTTTCTGGCAGGATTGCCGAGCTTTTCACGGCCTACAAGTGAGCTACACCACTGTGCAATTGATCACATTGAGCGCTACGAAGATGAGCTGGCTGTAACATGGCATGAAATGCGGTATATCGTAACTAAATGCAAATCACAGCGCTGCAAAGCCACAACACAAACATGCACTTGTCGCTATAAGCTTTTGGAGTGTCAAGAAAGTGATGGAAAAATTATATTCGAGCAAGGGGGTCATACGATGGCCGACGATGCTCCACCATCCCCCATTGCATCTAAGCTGACCGCCGAGATGAAGTCCTATCTAGATGTCAAGCTAAGCGACTCTCCGTCTATGGTAGCGCAGGCACTGTACGCATTCTTGTGTCGTGATATTAAGGATGGGCGTATCGGCGGACCTACCCCGCAGCTTGCACAGGTCCAAAACTATCAGAAATGATGGCGGCGTAAAAACCGACCGGATAGTATGAACCCCGTGCTGGAGATTTACCGTCAGCGAATGTACGGCAGCGAGCGCTCAAATTCCTGGCAAACAGACCCAGATGCATTGCTAATACTGTGCGAAACAAAAGTTGTGGACGGCGTTGTGGAGCCTGCTCTTGGCACGGGGTCTCAAGGCAACCCATTTCGCATTGGTTTGACGTGCAAGCGGCTTTTAGAGCGTTATGTTGAAGTGCAGCAGGACCCGTCTCTAACTACGCTACTGCACATGGACACAACACACAACTGTGTGAAGCAGAAGTACCCTGTTTCTGTATTGGGCTTTTCAGATCGCAGTGGAGCCTTCTTGCCAATTGGGTACTGGTGCACATCTCAAAGGCGCAAAGAGGATATTGTTTGGTACCTTTCCTGTTTAAAAAGAGTCATGTTGAAGGAATTTGGGGTGCCATTCTCGCCTGACTTTGTCATGATGGACGCAGACAAGGCCCAACAAAACGCCTGCACCGCAGAGTTACCTGGAACCACCATTTTGATGTGTTGGTTCCACGTAACACAGAATGTGTTTAAACATGCACATGATGCAAAGCTGGATTTGATTTCGGTAAGGATGATTTTCAGGAATCTATATGATTTGCACTTTTCACGCGATGAACAACAGTATCTTCGAAAGCGAGAATTTGTTCTGAGGTCATGGCGCGGCGCTGGTGAACTAAGTCCTCGTTTTCGGCGTGTTTCAAACCACATTATTTCTCAATGGATTACGGGGGCTCGCTTTCCGCGTTGGCAAGTTTACCACACACCTACAGGGTATGCTACGACCAACAACCCATTGGAGCAATATCCTAAAACTTTAAAACTTGTAAATGACAGTCAGCGTGCAAATCCTGCCGAACTCGTTGTTCGCTTGGATTTATCACGTATTGCGCATGTATCATCAAAGATGACTTTTGTCGATAGAGCAATTGTGTCGAAAAGATTGCTTGCTGCGTATCGAAGGACCGACAAAAAAAAGGTGTGGGATGCAGAAGTGGTACACCGTGTACAAGATTCGGTGCTCGTGCGTGTGGCTTCGATTTCCGCTGGTTCTTCCCAGGACAGTACATTTGAGGACTCTGTACTACCTAAGTCAGCGTGCACGTACGACTCTAAAAAATACGCAAAGATCATGTGGGAGAACATGCCGACCGGTGGATGGATCGTAGATGCAACAGGTCGCACATGCATGTGTCTATGCCGGAACAAAGCTGGGGTTTGCTTTCATGTAATGAAAGCGACTCAGTTTGCTGGGCTCTCTTGCCCTGGAATTCCCATGCAGTCACAGAGATTCGAGCGTCCAGTTCACCAGCAAAGATCTGTGCGGAGATCGGCTAGGGATGGTGAAGATGCAGATGGTGTCGCAGCGGGGCCAGAAGCAGGTTTCCCGGTGTATGGTCCAGCGACGCTGGCAGATAGCCAGGACATCACTGATACCAGAGCGGATGCGCCGCGCAATGCGAGTGCTGGTCCGGTAAATCACGTCGTGGGTGTAGCTGTTGCTGCGGCCAACCAACGCGAAGAATCTTACCTTCATTTACCGCGTTTGGAGACTCCAGTCACTAATACTCTGCGTAGATCCCATCGGTCTAGGACTCCCACGCGTAGAGCACGTGAGGCAAGGGCTCATAACAAGCGTAGACGCAGGTGAAGGATCGGCCTTATGTTTCGAAAGAACAGGCTCCGCTCCGATCATGGTGAGCCGATCATACTCTATTGCTCTTTACATAACATCTGCCAATCATTTTTCTCTTTAAAATCCATACATGCACTTGCACTGCAAATTGCAGCTTTTGTTTGTTCCCACATTTAGTTTTATGCGCGAGCAGGCCGAGAAGAGTCTGAATACGTGTGAGGCCGCATCTTCCAGATCCGTCAGTATAGGACATTGCCAACGACGTTATCCTGCACTCGTACGGTATCTTCCACAGCGCGGCAAGATGCGCACAGACGTCTTTAGCGACCAGCTTGCCCGCCAGACAAGTCGCAGCTCATGCTTCTGTTCAAGCGCGCTGATTATACGGAGAAGCGATTCCGACTGTTTGAGCGAGCACCAAGGACTGCAAGAATACACTGGACGAGGCCCGCAACACTCTGGTCATCACGCCTGAGTACGCGGCTCGTCTCGAGGCCAACATGAAGGTCCGTGGCGCCGAGTTGCATGCTGTCAAGGACAGCAAAACAGCGAATCGCCCTGTACGAAGAGGATCGAGAGGTACTAATCTCTCCAAGTTGGGGTCGTCGTCGTCTTCATCTTCGTTGACAGGGTTGTCAGTAACTACAGCTCCTGCATTGCCAAGAAACACTAGCGACGCGGGCCCGGGTCTTATCCACAGTTCGTGGAAGAAGCGATTGTAGTGTGTTTGGGGGCCTCGCTGTTTAATTCCCTGGCAACACTGAGCGGTGGGCAACGAGTTTGACAGGCCAGCTGCGACATTCGATCGAGCTCGAGGAAGATGAAGACCATCCCAAGAAGAATCGAACTCCTCTTCCGTACTATTGCGCAGCTCTGGAAAAGCGATGGGAAGCATTCGAGACGCAATCAACTAGCCACACAGTGGGCATGAACCTGCTGGAGAAGCTCGCGTCGATGCGTGCGGATGAAGAGATGGAGGAGCCCGTCGCGAAGGATGTCGTGATGCATTTAGTGGAGAGTGGACATCTCTTGCTGCATCAGCGATTCCGAGCTGCGTTTGTGGAGCGATGGGTAGCGGCAGAGGTGATTGGATTGTCTGACGGCGACGAGAACGGGATCATCAGTGGGCGTTTACGTGCTCTTCAGTCGTGCATGGATCTGGTTCATTTGCTCAGCTACAAGCGCGAGTTCGTGTTTGATCAAGACGACTACTCAGTGACCAAGATGTACATCGAGCACACTGTACTCAGCATGGACGCCGGTACAGGAGCTGACGTTCGTGGTATCAAGCAGCAGGTGGCTGCGAATTTTGAGCCACTGCGTCTTGAAGTGGCGAGTGAATTTTATAAAAGTACGCAGTGCACTTACGTACGCTTGGTTTCCGACGTCTTCGGACGCTAGCTACCAGCAGGAGCCATGCACGTGCCTTCCCTGCGGACCCCAGCGCAGCAAACGAGAGCGACATACCTGTCAAAGAAGGCTTCTCCGAGTACTTTTACCACCCGGTAAGAGCTGCAGCGCAAGCGGCTGGGTGGACGAATAGTGCAAGCAATGACCCTCTCTCCATCGTGGTGCTTGAGGTAAAATGCGACAATCGAGGCGTGCTGCTGACTGCGGTACGTGTGAGTTTGCACGACTTGGAGCAGCAAGATCTGCGTTTCCAGAATCGTTTGGCTGCCAAGACTGGGAAGAAGACGACTGGAGTATCTGGAGCAAGAGTGCAGAGTGTAGCGTCGTGGCTACGTGCTCAACTGCAGACCCAAACTCTCATTTACGGGTTCACCATCCGCTACTTCCAGCGACATCTTCTGCAGTGGCTTGACGCGTCGCACGACTTCCACGACGCAGAGAATGGACACGGTCACAGTGTAGGCAAGCATCAAAGTGAGGATGACGCGCTTGTCGTGACCCCACCGCTGCCTTGGAAGAAAGCGGCCACGTTCCAGAACATCGTCAAGGGGCTTCAATGCTTCTTGCAAGCCTTTCCGGATCCGCCTATGGAACCCAAGAAGTTCAGTACACCAGCCCCAACGTCGTCACCGTGCAGATCTTACTCCGATACATCGCATGTCATGGCTCACGCTACCAAGTGTTAGACCTACTGCAGTTTGGTACACCGGATGCAGTCGTGTGTCACTCGTCATCAGGAAGCTTTTGTGTGCTACCGGTGGAGCGGGCTCTGCAGGAAGCTCAGCTCTTCACGCGAGAGTTGTTCCGCGTTGCTGCTAAACACTACGAACGTGATTTGCTGTGATCTCGCCTGCTGTTTGATGACTCACGTGGCCCTGATGCCGATGTGGCTCGCACGTTGGCGCTTCCGGCGGACTTGTTCCGAGTGGATGTGGGCCCACAGCAGCTTGACGAGTGTCTCAAGCTGTCTATCTGTACGCCTTTGGAGGTGCCGGACCCGCGACTGGACGATCTGCTGCGTGTATCTGGCGTGTGCTGGCACCAGGCTCGGTATCTTCTCCGTGGCGCTTGGTCGGGTCGTTGAGCTCGTTATACAGTCGTGGCTAAATTCAAGCCTGGTTGTAAGAACTATGATCTCCACCACGTACCAGCTCATTAGAGCAGAAATGTCGTTTAAGATAACGGGGTTCTTTTTAAAATAAAATTGTTAAATCTGTTCGTCAACGTCATTTTTTAATCAACAACTTAATTTTGATCGCTCTTCGAACTCTAACATGACACGAAATTGGCGGCTTTCGGATCCCCATGCGGAGCTGCCCATCAAGAATCACAAATATGTGAAAAGCCACACCGAGCTGTACATGGCCAGCAAGCGCATCGACTAAATTGCGAACTTCGATGCTTTCGTTAACCTCGAGGTGCTCTGGATCAATGACAACCAGGTATGTCATCTGTGCAGTAGAATTCCAACTTAAGATTCTTTCTTTGACGACCTGCCAGATTCAGGAACTTGACGGACTGGACGGTTGCTTCCGTCTCAAGCAGATCAACGCTCACAACAACTGCATCCGGTACGTCAAAAGTGCGCCTTGTCGACCTGCTCTCTTCAAAAAACAAGTGTACTTCTGGTCCTATAAACAGCTCGCTTGAAGATTCACCGCAACTACTACGCTACGACTGCAAGGCTGATGAGGCTGCAGCCTCGACCGAGAAAGTGCTATAATAGCTCCAATATTCCGTCGAACACATCGATCTCCTCACTTACTTAATTCAAATCATCCTATTCGTTTGCATTTTTGTTTAGTATTATCCAGGTCGTGGTCGTCCCCTTTGTCGCTCGTTTGGTTTGCAGTTCATCGGGCAAGTTGTAGTCTTGATACGTCTCGGTGGGGTTATAAAAGCGAATGATTGGATCTGCAGTAAGATCTACTAAACTAAGTCGTTGACGACAAAGAAAGTTGGACCATGTTGACCACAACCTCCACTCCGTCCCTCATTTTGTAGTCATTGTCGGCTGC